TGCAAACCCCCTGATGGGATTTCCTGCATTAGAACTGAATTCAGTAAGCTTGGAGGACCAGAGCATTTGAATTTCATATAATAATAATAATAATAGCTTACATTTATATAGCGCTTTTCTGGACACTCCACTCAAAGCGCTTTACAAGTAATGGGGACTCCCCTCCACCACCACCAATGTGCAGCATCCACCTGGATGATGCAACGGCAGCCATAGTGTGCCAGAACGCTCACCACACATCAGCTATCAGTGGGGAGGAGAGCAGAGTAATGAAGCCTGTTCATAGAGGGGGATTATTAGGAGGCCATGATTGGTAAGGGCCAATTGGAAATTTGGCCAGGACGCCGGGGTTACACCCCTACTCTTTTCGAGAATCGCCCTGGGATTTTTAATGACCACAGAGAGTCAGGACCTCGGTTTTACGTCTCATCCGAAGGATGGCGCCTGTTTACAGTATAGTGTCCCCGTCACTATACTGGGGCATTAGGACCAACATGGACTGCAGGGTGAGTGCCCCCTGCTGGGCCCCACTAATACCTCTTCCAGTCACAACCTTAGTTTTTCCCAGGAGGTCTCCCATCCAGATACTGACCAGGCTCACACCTGCTTAGCTTTAGTGGGCTGCCAGTTGTGAGTTGCAGGGTGATATGGCTGCTGGCTTTCACTTTTATTATATATTAATTACATTATTACAGATTTTAGGGGACAGCTTTCAAAGTTAAAGGTGGAAGTCATTACAGTATACAGCAACACATTGTTTAAAGGAAAGTCATGTACTCCACTCTTTTCTAATACTGCAGCCTCTACTGCTATTCTTACTAATAAGCAGCAATTTTTGGGAGGGTTGAGATAGCATTTTGTTGATTCGGACTGCACTGAAATAGACACATTTTGTTTCAAGGTAACAACAATTTATTGTGTGGTCTGATGCTATTTGAGCTCATGCTAAATAGTTTTAAGACATTTATTGTTTCCGGTGGCTTAGTTTCCAATGTAACACAACGGGGGCTCAGGCGGGCGCCCTTGCCGCATCAGGTCGGCCCCATCCCGACTGAGGCTCGAACCCGGGACTCCCGCGTCTCTCTGCAGCGACCTAGCCCCATGAGCTAAAGAGAGATCTCTCTACGGCCCAGTAGCTGTAGTCCTGCTATCACAGGGAAGGGCGGTGACGTCACCTGCTCTGGTACACCGGCTCTTACACATTGCCTGTCGGCCATAAGCGTTACACTCTCCCCCGCTTAAATCGCCGTCCCTGGCGAAGGGCTATCCCACCCCGCTTCTGACACCAATGTAACGCAACGGGGGCTCAGGTGGGCGCCCTTGCCGCATCTGGTCGGCCCCATCCCGACTGAGGCTCGAACCCGGGGGAAAGAAAATGAGACAACACGTGGTTGATGTGCAGATTAGCTTTGAATAGGGTTCTGGTGCTGCTTTTGGGTTAACAGCAGGCTTTGTCAAGTTCAGTAAGCTGAAACATTTGAAATCACAAGAGAAAAGGGGATCATTTTTCCGTTTCAAAGAAAATATCTCACATTTACTGAGTGTTTTCTATATTGAGGTATATCAGATGATTCCTCTCAGATGCTCTTATTATCTTATCTAATTCCTCAGTTATCACTTATTTTAGGAAAAATATAACACCCCTTCAACCTACGGTAGTTAGTTGTTAGACTATAGAGGTTGTTAATTTGTCAATGAATGCAAGTACAAGGATTGGTCATATACAAAAAAAAATCCTGTAATCGGAAAAATGTCGTGACACCATTTATGAAAAAAAAAGCCTTCAGAGACCTTTTTGGGAAATTATTTTAAAGTAAATAAAACTATTTAAAGACTTTTCTACAAATCATATATCAAAAATGTTTTAACCTACCCACTTCTCTCAGGAAGGCGGTAAATCTGAAACAGAATATACATTTTAAAAAGATGAAGAGATTCAACATTTTTCTAATCTTATTTTTGTTGTAAAATGAATGAAAATAAACTTTGGTCTCAAGAGAATAAAGCAAAATAGGTGATGTTCAGCTCTTTCAAAAACTAAAAAATATATATAAATAAAAATGTGAAAGCACCAGAAAAAAAAAATCCTGTAATTGTCGTACACCAAATAAATGGGTCCTAAATTGTCATTAAAAAAAAACCCAACAGATATTGCAAAAACCCCAACATTATCCTGCACTTTGTTTCTCTAGCTCTAGGAAGAAAGTGTTAAATTATTAAAATAAACAACATTCTAAAGCATCAATATCCTTTACTTGTTTTCTCAATCACCAAGCTGTTAGAGCTGCCTCTGGAAACATGGTTTTCCATTTCTGACAAAGTTTCCCAGCTGTCTGTTGGGAGCTCATAGTCTAGTAGCAGGCAAGAGGGCCTGCTCATCCAAGCCGCCATCACTGGTTGCAGCTGCATGACTGTAATGAAGCTGTGTCAGTCATGTGGCTTTGTGTGGCATCTCCCACAATGTCCAGTGTTCCAGCCATTCCAATATACAGTGTCACTTCAAAGACATGCATTATATGAATTTAGGGATTTGTTTTTCAAATTCTTACCACAGAGTTATAAGTGTAAGAGAACAAATTTGGGTTCACAAATAGTTCAGAACTATGGGTAGCTCATTTTACTGTCACAGCTCAGGACATATTATAGGTATAAACAATATAATACTAATATATGAACAAACGTAGCTGTTGAAAGTTTGGAACATTCAGGAGCACTTAATCTGCTGTCTATACAGAAGTTCAAATGTTAAAGTCAGACTGTCAAATAGACAAAGGTTATAAATTCTGCAAATACAGAAGCAGATGAGAAGGAGATATAGTATTCCAAGCTCACCAGTCATACCAGTCCATTTCTAATCGAGAACCTTACATATGTCTTAATGATTTGCTTCTAAGAAACAAGGATAACATTTGTGTGCATCAGTGATCTGAAGGAGGAATGTAGTTGCTCTGTAGTATCTTGCACAACATCTGCTAAGAAGGAGACATACAGTATAGGGTTACTGGCACTGCTACTTCAGAATGTCTTTTTTTTTTCTTGTTGATAGAACGTGAGTAACGGTGAAGGTTTAATAATCAGTATTATGTATGTACCTGATACTCAACATACAGTACTTAATACTGTCATTGTCTTTGTCATGATCAGTTACTGCGTTTATCTTTGCAGTCGACAGTTCTTGTCACATTGTTTGATTCCAGTCCTTTTCTGTCACTTGTTAACTCTCATAGCACTGTTGCTGTAGCCATTATGTAAAATGGCTTTCCCACATAGTCCTGTTATAACTATTTATTTTCATATAAATGTAAAGAAAACAAACCATTAATAATAAGCAAATGTGGAAGGCTATTCATAGACTATTTATAGAAGGTCTAATGCTTTCAGGGATCAGCAAATTACAGTATTCTGTGGTTAAAAAAGCTACTCCTTGGCCATCTTTTGAGTGATCATATTCAGGTAGGCTAAAATATCAGACATATGTAAACACAGTACCATGAAACACAGTACCATGTTGCCATTAGAAGTTGCTGTCAGCTTTATATCCCTTCTGTGTTGTGATCTTCATTAAGAATTTAATTATTTAACAAACTGATTATATAAAATGATTGATGTAAGAAAATTCAGCTCAAATTAATATGCATATCTTACACAGGGAAACATGTAACGTCCTGTTCCTAGGTGCAAGCGTTGTAGTCCCCAAAGGCATGAGGTCCTCCTGTACATTAATCTGGGCTCCAGATAACATAATTAAACTAATTAAGACGCACAGTTTTAAAAATCTCTTCAAAAAAACATTAAGAGAAATATAATTAATAATAAAAGTATCTGTCAAACTCTGCTCTGATAGCATTTATTACAGTTGCTCACAGTGCTGTTTATATGAATATTTATATGTATTTTCTTATTCAGACCACTTTCCACTCTTGCCATCTTTTCTTTTGTACTTCTCTGAAGTACATTTCCCTCCTGTTTGTATACCATTTTTGATTTGTATAGTTTTAATGTTTGCTTTAATATTAGGTGTTCTATTTAAATCACATTTTAATTGTTACTTTGTTACAATTATTGTACATTTTTGTCACATATTGTAACAATGTACAGTTAATGATCATTTACTTTCTCAGTGTTTAAAGTGTTGTAGGGGTGATGTAATATTACTAATTCAAATTTGCATTCTAATACTAAGTCTGGATTCTTTAACAGAATCTTGTCCTACAGTATATTTTGCTAGCAATCTCAATTAATATATAACGTTTGGCGTTTTGTTGAAATAAACTGAACCAGGATCCATGAATCTGCCATTTCATCTTTTCAAGAAGAAAACTTGTGTAGAAAATAACAAAGGAGCAGTGAAGGTGATTGTTCTTACTACTTAACCTCTACTGTAAGTTGAAATACTGTGCACTTTTTAACAGCCTGTATACATGTTGTGTAAGGTTACAAAATGGGAAAGACTGACTGCATGTCACATTAAAATTTTAATTTTGTTGTGATTATGATAAATCTTTAGTACAACTGGAAGGCTCTGGATATACTGATTAACAGCAAACAAGTTATGTACTGTATGTGGTGCTGCTGATCAAGCTTAATTTGTGTCTGTTTACACAAGCTCTTAGAGCTTGGCTAATAGTGTGAGGTTTTGTCTTATCTTATGCTCATCAGAGCACTTCGTGGGATGATGACTGTGGTCTTTTAAAACTATTTCTTATTATGTTGGCATTGACTAGCCTTTTACTTACATTGTTTCATAATTTGGTGATACATGTGTTTAGAATCTTTAAGGTATAGATGCCCTTAAGATAAATAGAAACAATATCAGTTCTAAAAACAAATGTCTGTTTTTCCTTACATTTAATTTTCAGTTTCTTTTATAAACTTTTGTTACAGTTACAAGACTGACATTTTTAGTTGCTAAAATTGCAATTCTTAGCTGTCTCGTAAATGTTGAACTCCTTGTATGCTGTGTACTGAAAATGTGCCAAATGTCTTTCTTTGTTTTGCAGGATAACTTTTTGCCATCTGCCTTTCCAGAGTAAATGGTTGTATGTTGGCACAGAAAGAGGAAATATTCACATTGTCAATGTGGAGTCCTTCACCCTCTCAGGCTACGTCATTATGTGGAATAAAGCCATCGAACTGTGAGTCTGTCTCTTCATCCATTACTTGACAATGATTTACTTTTGCAGCTGTCGTTTGCATTATCATTTTGGCTTTGCTGTGTTGGACATGTCATGTCTATACCTCAAAGTTTCCTTGGCTTGTCAAGGGCTTTAAACAGTAGCTGATTAGGAAATGAATGTTTAAGGCGCAACTGGGGTTTGTTTTCATGAAGAGCATGTATCGCTTGCTCAAACCCCCACCACTGCCACCACCAAATGTGTGTAAATTAACTTTTCTTGACTTGACTATATTTTTTCTGTTGTTTTTTTTGAGGGTAGTGATGGGGAATAGGAAAAACAATTTAAGGTTCACTCTAGCTAACCTTTCAACACTGGACATTGATGATTACCCATCATCTAGTCATGTTTGTGAGGCATGATGACATAGTGGTTAATGCTACTGTCACGTGGCTTTGCTGTCCTGGGTTCAGTGTTTGCCTTGGGCTTCTTTACTTCACATGGTTGCCCTATTTTTGAATGAGTGTTCTGTTTTTTCCTGGGAGGCATTGTCCAGTACTAGTTACCTGACTAAAGAAAAACTGGTAAAAAAAAAGCATGATGGATCAAGAGGCCTCCTCTCATTCGTTGATTTTCTAGTGTTCTGTGATTTTAAGAACTTACACGAAAGCCCAAAAACTTAGACTAACATAAAAGCTGAGAATTTAAATATTAGAATACAGTGTATGGATCTGTACAGCTGTTTTTTTTCTGAATGTGAAAACACAGTTCAGCTATTAAGGTTAACTAAAATATAAAACCATTTCAGATGTAGAAAAGAAATAGTTTAAATACTTGTACAGCGGCACATGTAATTTCTGTTACAGTGTACCAGCTTTCTTTTAGCATAAGCTGACAAAGAAAGAAAGAAAGCCCCAAGCTTTCTGATGTGCTGCACAACAGTGATAATGTACAGTATATGTCTATTATCTACAGTTTGAACAGAAGGAGTGGAAAGAAAATAAGTCATCAAGATCATACATGAATAGTATCAGACAGATTTGCGACTGAAGCCCCATGAAACAACAACAGTGCTTTCTGTAGTCCTGACTTGGGGAGGCAGTCCCACTATTTTGAATTTTGCTGTGTTGCATAGAGCATTGAATTACTATCTGAAACTGATAGTGATTTTTGTACTCTTTTTAATTAGGTAGGATGACTCTAGTAGTATATGTAAATGATTTTAAATATTCTTTTGCTTTACGGTTTTATTGAACATTTATCTTCAGCACATATCGGAAAACATGAGGTCAGAGTGGCAAACTTATTGTCACGTGAGCTGCAAAGGAGCGGCATTTTGGCTGTAGACTTCACCTCATATTCCTGGTCTCTCCTTCATTCCACTGTGCATCTACCAAAGGCTCCCCAGCTGAAACAATGTGTTTTTCTTCTTTCTTTTTATTTTTCAGCATTAAATTAACCTTTACTTTTTCTTCCAATCAGAGAAAATAGTTGATTATGAGGTTATTTGCTGTTAAAACAAAAATAAGCTCAATGTCATGGAACCCAATCTGTCATCTTATTTGTTGACTTGATTAGCAAGTAAATGGTTTGTGATGCAATTAATTTTTATGCCAGGAAACGTAACATGTGGAAACATCCGCTTGAAAGTGATCAAAGCAGGGTGTTTGAACCTTTAAGTCCCAATTTCCTAAAAGTTGTTCATCTCACAATATCCGAGGCTTAAGATCATAAATAACAGGGAAATTAAGAATTAAATATAATCTATAACCCTAAATTATTTGTTTATCATTTTGCTGTAGAAATTAAGATAACTAATCTTTTAGAATGCAGTAGTAATGTCTACCATAGTAAATGATTGGTGATTGTCCATTTCAGTATGTTTTCTTGTTGCATATCCAATGACTTGACTTTTTTTATAACACTTTACCATAGGCTTCTGCTGCTTGTTGTTGTTTTACCATTATATCTCTGTGCTTTAGTACACTCAATGACTATGGTTCTATGTTAACTTGTAGTTGACTATGGTACTATGTCAACAGATTGTACTCTGGTTACCTCTTCATAAGAGACCTTTCACTTTATTCTTTTTAAGAGCCTAAGCTGTGGCAATGGCTCCTGATGCAAACTTTGTAATGCTGGTGAATGAATGTTTCCCTACTGTATGTCAACAGGCATTTCCATTTTTAGTAGTTTTACGCATGCTACCAACTCACAAGAGATTTCACTGTAGGCTGATTGAAAAGAAAGTTGGTTGGCAGCTTATATTTATTTAAATATATGTGGTGTTGTAAATGTCTGCTTAAAATATCAGATGCAGTAATTTTGCATTCATAAACAATGTTCAAAGTGATATCCACTGTCTTCAGAATTAGTTCCTGTCTGCACTATTAGGTTCTGCTTTATAGTGAAAACCTTATCTTGTCCTTAAAGGCTCCTTGCCTCCGGAAGGGTTTCCATAGAAACTAGGAAAAAGTTGAAGTAACAGGATGTTTTTTTCTTTATCTTTTGAGATTTCCACATCATTGTATTGCATGTAATATCATGAGTGCAGTTCTGTTTTAACAAGGACTAACAGTAGTCTGACAAACCAACATAATTCTTAAGTGAAAAAAATCAGTAAAAACAATTAAAAAGCTGTTTTGTCTACTAGATGTAAAATCCCATGCCACAATTTCTTAAAAAGGTAAAATTGTAATAATTTACAAATTATAGAGCAAACATTTTTTCACTTGCCACAGACTTTATTGCAAAAATGAAGGAGTATTATAATGAAATACTTGTGTAGCACATTGTTGACATGAGCTGTTGGAAGTATCAATGTCACAGATTGCTCCAAATACAGTACTTTAGAGATATTATTAAGATAATCTTTTTTCTGTTTCATAAATCTATTGTTGCAATTTGAACAGACCTATCACTTTTAAAGAAAAAAATATTAAATTGAATTTACATATTTTTATAATTGGGGGTTTAATATAAAATGAACAGATGTCCTTGATTTTTTATTTAGTCCAAAAGTGAATCAGAAGTGATATACTGTATAGTGGGTATAGAAAGTCACCACCACCTTCCAAAATGTTCACCTTTAGTTGCCCTAAAGCCCAGAAAGAAGATGAATAAAATCAGACTTTTTCCAATTTTATTTTTATTTGTCCCTTGAAGCATCCAAGAGAAAAAAGAAAGCAAGATTTCTGAATAAAAAAAAATAAAATAACGGGTGGATAAGAGAACATCCCCCTGAGTTAATACTTGTTGGAAGCACCTTTAGCTTGAATTGCAGCCTTGAGTCTGTTTGTGTACATCTCTATAAACTTTGTACACCCAGAGGGAGGAATATTTGCCCATTCCTCCTTACAGAATTATTGAAGCTCAAACTGTGTGGTGCATTTAATTCCAAAGGTTTTGATGGGATTTAGGTCGGGGCTCTAACTAGGCCACTCAAGAACATTCAACTTCCTGTCCTTCACTTTACGGTTGCTTTGGGTCATTGTCATGTTGAAAAGTGTACCATCTTCCCATTTTAAACTTCCTGGCTGAGGGCTGCAGGTTTTCTTCAAGAATTTGCCTTTATTTTGCACCATCCATCTTCCCTTCTATCCTGACAAGTGCCCCAGTCCCAGCTGAAGAGAAACAACCCAATAACAGGATGCTGCCACCACCATGCTTTACTGTAGGAATGGTGTTCTTTGGATGATAAGATGTATTGGGTTTATGACAGACGTACCGTTTTGCATACTGTCCAGAAAGATTGCTTTTGGTCTCATCTGACCACAGCAGCTTTTGCCACTTGGCCTCAGAATCTTTAAAGTGCTATTTAGCAAAACATAAACGAGGGTGGTTTTTTCTTGCTACCCTCCCATACAGGCCAGACTGGTGGAGCGCTTGTGATATTGTTGTCACATGCACACAGTGACCAGTCTTTGCCACAAAGGCCTGTAACTCGTTCAGAGTTGCCATCGGCCTTGTAGCCTCTCTTGCTCCTGATAATAAACTGTCTCCTTCTTGCTTGGTAATCCAGTTTGGACAAGGTCTGTTTGGTGCCATACGCCTTCCTTAATGATGGTCTTGACTGTGCACCTTTCCACCCATAGTGGATTCTTTGCTTTGAAATGCACTTCCAAGCAGTGGAATTCTCTAGAAACAGCTGCTTTTATTCTGAACTACTCAATTATTCTGAACAAAATCACTACAATTGATCACCAGTGGGAGACAATTAGTTTGCTGTGTGATCTGTAAGGTGATTGATTATACCTGAGCAAGTTTACAAATGCAATTGTGAGGGGGGTGTTCACTTATCCAAATAAGGTATTTTACTGTTGTAATATTAATTCATTTTCAGAATATTTTAGAATATATTTTCTCTTGGCTAATCTGAGATACTGTGTGTAAATAAAAATGGAACAATTCTAATTTAATTTGTTTTTATTTTCAGAGTGTCATACAACAATAGGTACAAATTTTGAAAGTTCTGTACCCACTGTACAAAATCGTGTCTTAAAAAACACACAGCAATGTTATACCCAGAACTTTAAATATCCCTTTGAATTCATTCAGCAGGATCTAACTTTTGAAGAAATGGGTTGATTTTTACGTCAAAGTTCATTTTTACATTTTACACTTCAGCTAGGCTTTGAAAACTGTTGCTGCTTTTAGTGGTGTTTCAGACCAGGTAGTGGTGCTTTTTACTTTGGACCAAAATTTCAAAACCAGTGACTGAGGACACTGTAATATAGGCACTATTCTTTATTTTTAAAATGGTATGTTGCAGTAAACCAAGGCTTTGAATACTTGATCATTAAAAATGTCAGTGTTGTAAGGCTAGTGGTGCTAACCCCTGTGTCCTGGCTAAATTCCAGTCATGTGTTACTAATTGTTGCTCAGTTCTCTGCCTGTTAAGTTGTGTACTGGAGCTACAGGTGCATAAAGACTGCTGCACAGCAACTAGGTGAACTGGGCTCAGCTCTTCAGTGGTACAGTACATAAAATGGGTCCCTCCTATACTGTATGTGAAGTGTATT